AAATCGAACTTCATTGAAGATGAAATGAAAGTGGATATTTTATTAAGTGTCGCAGAGAATCCAACGTCAAGTTCACGTCAAATTGCACGTCAAAATATTGTGAAACACATAACTGTCCTAAGGTGTCTCCATGAAGAAAACTTCATTCATATAAATTGACATTTGTGCAGGAGCTAACAGAAGACGATCCGGATCGTAGAATGGATTTCTGCAAAAGAATGTCTTCTTCTTCTTCTACTTGTTGTAGATCTTTCGATCTGTTTAATTCTGAAGCTGCCTCTGGTTAATTTCTTGAGAGGTAGATTGCCAACTATCCCTCCATCTTTTAGGTGGTCTTCCGGGGGGTCTTGAACCGGGCGGATTGTTTTCTAGGGCAATTTTTGGGAGTCTATTCTCATCCATTCGTCTTACATGGTTGTACCACATCCTCTTGCGCTGCCTTCCCCATCTTACAATATCTTGAATTTTGCACTGCTCTCTAATGTTTGTATTTCTCACTTAGAGAAATATAACCCGATCAACCGATATATATATATATATATATATATATATATATATATATATAATATATATATATATATATATATATATCGGTTTTAGAACGTCTTTCGACGTTGTCCGATGCCTAACTTCCACGTCCTTCTATCATCCCGTTGGCCGTCTCTAAGATCTCTTATACTCATTGCTTTAGTTACCCCTTCTTTCCATGTCTTCTTGGGTCTTCCTCGTTTTTTGCGGTTTGGTGGTACCCACTGCATAATCTTCTTGGGTAGTCTTGTGTCTTCCATTCTTTGAACATGACCATACCAAATCAACTGTTTCCTCTCAATGTCTGTTGTTAAGTAACCATCTATTCCAATTCTTCGTCTTATTTCCTTATTTCGAACTCTTTCCCTGCGGGATATACCTAACGATCTTCTAAACACATCCATTTCTACAGCTTCTAATTTTTTTCTGTTGTTCTCGGTTATTCTCCAAGTTTCTGCTCCATAAAGTAGACTGCTTTTAATTAGTGACTCATAGATGTTATATTTTCGCTTTATTCCTATTTCAGAGCTCCAAAGTATTCCATTTAGGCAGCCAATTGTTCTTCTAGCTTGTGCAACCCTTTTCTTTATTTCCTCTATATTCCAAAAGAATGGTGGATAAAATTAACAAATGAAATAGCTCTTGGCACAATTCTCTTTTCTGATGAATCAAAATTTAGATTGAACGGAGAGGTAAACTGACAAAACTGTAGATATTGGTCAGCGGAGAATCCTCATTGGATGCGTGAGACACACACTCAGTATCCTCAAAAGTTGAATGTTTGAATACTTGAATGAAATCTTCTTCAGTAAGTGGATTTGATGAAGAGGACTAGTGAGCGGCCAGCTAGGTCGCCAGATCTTACGCCTTTGGATTTTTTTGTGGGGTTATCTCAAGAACAAAGTATATGCAACACAATCAACTATCATTAAAGACCTCAAAAAGTAAGGATAACTACAGAAATACGGAATATTTCACCTCAAACTTTAAACAAAGTTCGGAACGAGTTTTTATAGGAGACTGTGTTATTGCCAAAAACAAGGTGGAGAACATGTTGAGCATTTATTTTAATGTAATCCAATCAATTACCTCGGGTATTCTATGAATTCATTGTCTTAGAAGAAAATACCTAATTTCAAAATTTCACCTTGTATTATTCATAATAGACCCTACATGATATAGTTCGTTGAAATCAGGTTGTTAAGGAGCTTTTAAAAACATAAAAATATACAGGGTGTTTCATTTAAAATACAGATTATGCACTCTGCCAGACTTGCATTGATCACCCTGTACATTCAAATGTATATCTAAAAAGCGTACATTTAAATTTAAAAGTTAAGGTATCTCAACGTTTTTTATTATTTTCTAAAATAAGGACACAAACAATTTTTTCGATAAGTGGTTTCCACACTGTATTTCACAACAATGTGGTGTTACTTTGTAGGGGAGACCGGGGAGAGTTCGGACACAGGGAGACATCGGACACATTTGAATTTCGCACATTTTTGAAGATGCACTGTTGTCATTTGGTAAACACAACCTTATTTGTACATAATTATAGGTTATGTATTGACAGCTGTGATTTCGGTCGTAGTCACAGAGTTATCTATTGTGAAGTGTTTTGTCGAGTTTTGTTCTAAAAATATCGGTGCAATCCAGAAGATATATTTTAAAATACATAGACTTACCACGTATAAAACTTTGGTGCTGTAATCTACTATACTTATTTCATTAATTTGCGTTTATGTTGTTGCAATATTTAGGTAAGTTTTTTTTATAAACCCATTGTATTACCAATGTTTGCATTAGGGGAGAGTTCGGACACAGTGTCCGAACTCTCCCCTGTGTGTCCGAAGTCTCCCCTGATCTGTAGTTATTCTATTTTTCTCTTACAGCTCATAATGCCCCGTACATATACAAGGGTAACAGAACGACAATTTTCTGCAGACACTATGAAAAATGCCACATCAGAGGTGCTTGACGGCAAATTGAGCATTCGGAATAGCGCCAAAACCTACGGCGTTCCTAAATCTAGTCTTCTAGATTACATAAAGAAAGCTAGAGCTGTGGGTATAGACAACGTAACATTCTCTCCAAATTTCAAGCAATCTCAAGTGTTTACCGATATAATGGAAAAAATGCTTGAAAAATATTTATTAGATTGTTCTTCCATGTTTCATGGACTAACGCCTAAAGCTGCAAGACGTTTAGCTTTTGAATTTGCCAAGAAAAACCATGTTAAAATGCCTACTACATGGAGCGAAAATGAAGAAGCTGGAACAGACTGGTTTTCAGGTTTCATGAAACGTCATCCTGTACTATCTATTAGAACACCTGAAGCCACTAGTCTCGCTAGAATGACGAGTTTTAACAAAGTTACTGTTGAGACGTTTCAAAATAAATTAGAAGAAGTTTTACGTCGTCATTCTTTTGGATCTTCAGCGATTTTCAATTTAGATGAAGTGAGTCAATTAACAATTTTGTTTAGTTATTTTGATAATTAATATCACTTATTTTTTAGACTGGGGTTACTACAGTTCAGCGTGTACCTAAAATAATTGGAAGAAAAGGTCAACATCAAATAGGGCAGGTGACCTCACGTGAACGTGGAGAATTAGTTACACAAGTGGGCATAATTTCTGCTGATGGAAAAGCATTGCCTCCTATATGGGTATTCCCACGGCAACGTTTTGATGAAAACCGCATGATGAAAGGGGTTCCTCAAGTTGCTTTAGGATTAGTATCTCCTTCAGGATGGATGACAAGTGATAATTTTTTGAAAGTACTTAAACATGTTGTCAAAAATACACTCTGCTCTGATACTAATAAAATTTTACTAATCATGGATAACCACGAGTCCCATCTCTCAGTGGAGGGACTTGATTACTGCAAAGAAAATGGAATTACTGTTTTGACACTACCACCTCATACTTCTAATAAGTTACAACCTTTGGACCGAACAGTGTTTGGTCCTTTCAAAAAGTTTTTTAATGATGGTGCTAATTCCTGGATGTTGTCTAATCCTGGTCAGACACTTTCTATATATGACTTGCCTGCTATTTGTTCTTCTGCTTGGGACAGAGCTGCCAATCCAGTTAATATTAAAAGTGGTTTCAAGTGTACAGGTATTTGGCCTTTTGACAGGAATATATTCGGAGAAGAAGAGTTCTTATCTTCTTACGTGACAGATAGACCAATGCCTACTACAGAACCGGAACTCGGAAAAAGAGATTTTGATAGCTTGTCCAAACCGGGGCCAAGCAAAGTTTTAGTTTCTCCGAGTCACTCAACTTCTCCAAACATCATTTCTCCAGAAATGGTTAGACCGTTTCCCAAGGCGCCAGAACGTAAAACATCAAATAGAGGCAGGCCTAAGGGCAAATGTATCATTGCCACGGATACTCCAGAAAAAGACGAAATTGCCAACAGGAAACTAAAACGATCTGTTACAAGGAAAGTAAATCCTAAAAAAAGACAGAAAGTCACTAAAAAAATTGTTGAAACATCTTCTTCTTCTTCCTCTGAAGACATAATGAGCAATGAAAAATCCTCTGACTTCATAGAGCAAGATGACGAAGTGGATACAGAAGAAACAAATATTGCAAATGGTCAGTTTATAATTGCCAGAGTTTATGGAAAAACACCAGCTACATTTCGGCACTATGTTGCAGAAATTCAGGAAAAACAGATAAAAGGATACGACGTAAAATTTTATAAAAAACATGCCACTTCTAATCGGTTTATCTCCACTGAAGAAGATGCTTTTGTTATATTTGAAGACATAAAATGTATTTTACCGAAGCCCTTGAAAGATACACGTCAAAGATATGAAAATATGATCTATTTTAATACAGATTTAGAAGATTATTCATTGCATTAATTTTTTAATATCTAAACATGTCTATTTTTTTTAAATACATTTTTATAAGTAACATATGTTGTACTGTCCGAAGTCTCCCAGTACTGTCCGAAGTCTCCCAGTTCCTAGTCCGAAGTCTCCCCGTTTCTGGGGAGACTTCGGACAAATGACCCCCTGCAATATTTTTTTATTTTTGTTGTTAATTTATTGATTTGATATATTCTGCTCTTGATTGGTTATGCCTGAACCTTGGAAGCTTAAGTTAACTACTTTAAAAGGTAAATATATCAATACACTTTTCTAATAAAAATTAATTTTTAAAAATGGTCCGAACTCTCCCCGGTCTCCTACTTTAATATCTGAGAAAGATCTGCCTTTTGCGCTTTTAATTATTTCTTTTTCATGTATAATTGACTAAGACAATTTCTAAACTACTTACTCGAAAATAAAATATTTGTGAATTTTCATATACACTATGTAATTTGCTCGGAAACGCTACTAACTAATTAAAAGTGCAATAATGCAAAACAAAACACACGTTCTTAAATAAATCCTTTAATAGCTTGTTTAGTAACATTATGATAACTTTTCCATGCTTCACCATCACACCTACCTACCTCCTTTAACCTTCTTTCTAATTCTTGCCCGTCAAGTTGCACCCGATTCTCAACGTGTATAGGTATAATTGTCTCTTTTCCGTCGTCACTAGTTATTTTAATCACTTCTTCTTTCTTAGTGGCTTCTCCTGGTTTGTTCTCCCGCACGGTTTCCGAAGTTAACACGAACGACGCGACACCGAGGCTGTGAGACTGTTGAACCTGAAATTAATTGTTCTCTTTAATTATCTAAAATTGTATATTATCATTGCCTAATATTATTTCTAGTAGGTTATAGTAATTGTTTGGGAAAGTATGTACTACATATCCCTTTACATATTTTTTTCATTTAATATTTTTCTGTTACTGTACTGTAATGTGATCTAATTCAATGTTGTATTCCAACGACTTTGTTAAAATATATTTATTCCTGTTATTTCGTAAAATTGTTAAACTGGCTATCTCATTTATTATGTTTTAAGTACGGAGAATTTGGATTTCTCCTTTGTATTTTGTGTCATAAAGATATACATAACTGTAAAGTTTCGTATTACCTTGACAATTAACTTAAATTATCGCTTCAGTGTTCTTGACCGTGTTTGAGTGGAAGAGGCCCATTTTACGCGGGGGTGTGTGTGGCATATACATGCCGCGCACCCTACACACAAACTGCGTAACTTGCGCCTTTCCCCATTCACACACTCCTAAATTTCCTCACTCGCCAACCCGCCTGACAAGCGTGGCGTTTAAATGTCAAAAAACTCTCTTCAACAAACATGTCGAATCACAAAACAAACGGAAAATTAGCCCAGGTAGGTAGAGATAACATCTCGAAGTCCCACACCGACAAACCGGTCTGCCTCCAGGATTCTGGGGGAAGCAAACATTCGACTAAACTAAACATAGCAACATATAACATCAGATCCATGGAATTAGAAGAAGAACTAAATAATATACAATGGGATGTCATTGGTCTGTCAGAGATAAGAAGAAAAGGTGAACAAAAAATATTATTAAACTCAGGAAACATGCTGTACTACAAAGGCAATGAAGATAACTCTAACAACGGAGTTGGTTTTATAATAAACAAGAAAGTCCTCAGGTACATACAATCCACCAAGAATATATCCGACAGAGTAGCCTACATTATGCTTAAATTAAAAAGAACGTCTTTGAAAATTATATAGGTATACGCGCCAAGTTCATATACAGATGAAGACATTGAAAACTTCTACGAACAACTAACACTCGCTCTGGAAGAAAAGAAAACTAAATTGACGCTAATAATTGGAGACTTCAATGCCAAATTAGGGGGAAGAATAGATGGAGAAGAACACAGAATTGGAGAGTATGGATATGGCGAAAGAAATAATAGAGGATACACATTAATGAACTACTTGGAGGAGAGACAACTTTTTGCTATGAACTCGTTTTTTAACAAAAAACCACAAAGAAAATGGACATGGATAAGTCCCAACGGTAATACAAAAAACGAAATAGATTACATCCTTACAACACAAAAATCCATCATCAAAGATGTTACAGTACTGAACCGCTTCTCAACCGGTAGCGATCATAGACTTGTCAGAGCCAAACTCAGGATTAATAGCCAATTCGAAACAAAAAAGAAAATGGAAAATGTATCGAAACTAGATATGGAAAAACGTAAGCAATCAAAAGACGAATATAAACAAAAAATAAAGGAAAGTATACCGGTCACTAGAGATTTGGAAAACAAAAATATCGATGAAATAAATCAGCTATTAACCGATACATTAGCAAAGTCGGGAAAAGAGGTAGCACAAACAAGAATAAAAAAGGGAAAACTATGTATCCCAGGAAACAAAAAATCTCATGAGTAAAAGAAAAACATTACTGGAACAAGATAAGAGAAACACAGTAGATTACAAAGAGGTAAACAAAGCTATCAGAAGGAATATCAAGGAATATAAAAGGAGCGTAAAGGAAGAAAAAATAGAAAAAGCATTTGAACAAAATAAAAACATGAAGCGCTTAAAACCACAGCTTGGAACCATACAAATTAATGGTATAAAGAACAAAGAAGGTACAGAGACCAATAATATAGAAGAAATCATACAGATAACACAAGAATATTATAAAAACCTCTACAATACAAAACAGAAACCAACCCAAGAAATCCTTAAGCAACTACAAATAAAAATAAAAAATGTGAATTTCGACTTACAACCAGAAATCAGTAAGAACGAGATAAGAAGAGCACTCAAAGAGATGAAGAATAATAAATCGCCAGGAAAAGACGGGGTGACTGTAGAAATGCTAAAACATGGTGGGAAAACAACTAGAGAAGTTTTGTACATACTTATGAATATCACCATGAATCACAAACAAAAAGGGGGAAGGCCACAAATGCGATGGTCAGATGACATGAAGAAAAACGCCGGGTCAAAATGGATGCAAATTGCCCAAGACAGAGAGGCATGGAAGAAGGAGGAGGAGGCCTATATCCAAGGATGGATGTTTAGGGCTGTATAGATAGATAGATAGATCGCCATTCAAAATCGCAATACAATAGTGATTTATTGATATTCGGACCACCACGTAACGGGAAGAGGGTTCTTTTATGACCTGAAATCTCAAGACCCACCCTACTTCAACATAAGACAGCTAACCAAACACAATTTTTCCACAATGTATCCCGATTTCTCTTCGAGATTTTCTCTTCTTTTTCAATACATAAACAGTTGGTTATATATCTTCTTTTGCACAGTTCTTTATATATTTAATTACCTAAGTTATTTAGTAAATATCTAAAGGAATAACCTTGTTTAAAGCAACATTTGGAATACTACAATTAAATTAACATTCCTTTACCAGAGAATATATATTTTTGATAGTCTATGATATTAATTTATAAGACAGATTAAGAAAAATAATAAAATAATGAAGTTACCTTTAAATGAGTCGTTTCGGTGACTTCCCTAACGACTTTTCCAGGAGGAACCTCCGGAGAGGGCTTAAGAACTTCTTTCGCGAGTGGTAGTTCCGGAAGTCCTACTGCTAAGACCATTTTTTCTTTGGCGATATCTTTACCGATATCTTCTTTGCCGTGTTCCCACCATGGTGAGTAGCGATGTTCGCATTCCGAAGCGGTATTGTACGAGGAGGAGCGCGAGTGTTGAAGAGTAGTGTCGGAAGCTGTCAGAAATTCTTCGTCGGATTTGAGATCTTCGAGTTTTGGAGGTTTCTGAAATTAAAGAAAATGTAACTTAAGATTGGTGGATGTTTTAACTATTGTTAATAAACGGTTCATTTTATACAAAGATGTTATCTGCAATAACTACTTCAATATGAAAAGTCAAAACGAATTTTAATAAACTATAGTCATATATTGTAAGTAATAAAGTTGAATGTATAGTACAATGCTCAGAAAAACTCTATATTTCAAGATAATTTTCTAGTAATAAAAAAATAGAGAATGCAGATATGATTAACATATTTAAAATACTGCATTTTAATCATCTTTACTCTATTAGTTTTTATCTTTATGTGCCATCCATCTAGCATTTCTTAGTTCCATATTTTTATTAAGCAGTTATCCCTAAAGTTATTTATACTGTTCTAAGATATCATTTAATATATTTAGTTTACCTTCTCTTATTTTTTTTATTGCTTCAGCGACTTTTTTAATAGTTATTTTGGACATCACTACTCAATTCTCATAGTAATACGACACAAGAATGATAAGGTTTCATCGTTTATAAGGTAAGATTAATAAGGGACACTTTGTGTCAGATTTATCGTTTTATTCCTTCTTATTTTCATACTTAGATTTAACCACAGCCACGATGATTTCAAAGGACCAACAATATTCAAGAAAAATATCAATCTCTAGCGATGATGGAGTAGTAATCAAAGCTACACATGACATAGATACAGCAGCTCAATACTTCACCACACTTGTGCAAAAAGCGGCATGGCAATCTACATCACGAACTGAACGCAAACCAACACATACCACAAATGTTTCTCTGCACATTCGCCAACTCATTGCTGAAAAAACGTCGTGCGAGGAGAACTTGGCAAAGATCCATAAACAAAATTGACCTACATATATTCAATGGACTACGTAGGTAACTTGGAGTAGCCATCAACGCCGCAAACAACGAAACCTTCGAACATTGCATTACATACCTTACAGCAAATGACCAGACGTTATGAAAGGTGACTAAGAAGCTTCAGAAACCATACATAACTATTCCTCCCATCCGTAAACCAAATGGCGAATGGGCCTGTTCCAACAAAGAAAAACCGGACGTCTTTGCTGAACATTTTACAAACGTATTTCAAACAGAGCAAGCATGATGAAGAAGTCAAAAGACTAATTAGCGCAGCATGTCAAATTTCCCTCCCAATTAAAAGTTTTACTTCTATAGAAGTCAGGCAAGGAATAAACAAACTCAAGTCACGACCCCAGGTTATGATTTAATCTCGGCACAAGTACTTAAACAACTTCCTAGCAAGATCATTACTTTGCTAATAGTTATATTTAACCGCATGCTAAGCTTATCATCTTCTTCTTCAGCCTTAAGTAATCCAACTTTGGACATAGGTCTTCCCCAAATCAATCCAGTGTCTTCTATTTTGCGCCACTTGCTTTCAGTTGTGTCCTCCGATCTTCTTAATGTCATCAGCCCATCTCATTTGTGGTCTTTCTCTGCTTCTCTTTCCTAACCATGGTCTCCATTGTTGTATTTCGTGGTTCCATCTCTTATCCTTCAGTCGCATTGTGTCCTGCGAAGCTCCATTTTAGTTTGGCAGCATGTTCTCCTGCGTCTTTTACTTTCGTTTTACTTCTAATCCATTTGTTGGTTGTTTTTGTCTATAATTCTTGCCTCGAGCATTGATCTTTTTATCGCTCTTTGGGATTTTACTATTTTATCCATGGTAGACTTGGTGAGTGTCCACGTCTCTGAGCCATACGTGAGTATAGGGAGGATACACTGATCGTAAATTGTGGTTTTCAAATATTGTTCTATCTTAGTGCTTTTCAAGATCCAACTCAGTTTTCTAAATCCTGCCTACGCTAATCTTATTCTTCTGGTAATTTCAGCAGTTTGATTTTCTTTGTTAACTTTCATTATCTGTCCCAGGTAGATGTATTCGTTTACTGTTACTAAATGTATGTCGTTCACCGTTATTTCTTTAATGTTCGTTGTATTTGCCATTATTTTTGATTTTTCCAAGTTCATCTTAAGACCTACTTTTTTCGAAGCTTGAAATAGTTGCGCCTCTTATGGTCTGCAGTTCTTCGAAACTTGTATAGCAAATGAAATTACAATGTCATCAGTGTATTTTAAATGACTCAGTTCTCTTCTATTCACATTTATTCATTTATCTGCCCAGTTAATTTCTTTGAATACGTCTTCTAGTCCAAGTGTGAATAGTTTTCGTGAGATAACATCTCCCTCGCGAACTCCTCTGTTAATTGGTATAGCTTTGGTTTTCGCATCTATTTGTATTTTAATTGTAGCTTTCTTGTAAATAATATGTATGAGCATTCTAAATCGGGACTTTATCCTGCAGTTGTTCATAGCTCTTTCTATTGCCCAAAATTCTATGGACTCGAATGCCTTTTCGTAATCAATGAAGCCAATGTATAAGTTTAAGTGATATTCATTGGCTTTCTTAATTAGAGTTTTGACTGTAAGAAGATGATCCGCTGTACTGTAACCCTTTCGGAATCCTGCGTGCTCTACCGGATGAAAGCTATCGAGCTTTGACGTTTACCTGTTAGTTATTACTCTCATAAACAATTTGTACATTTGCGACAGCAGAGAGATTGGCTTATAGTTCTTGAGATCTGCCCTGTCTCCCTTTTTAAAGAGAACTGAGATTGTCAAACTTTCATTCCAATCATCTGGATCATCTTCCAACAGATGCTAGATACCTTGGCCTTCATCGTGACCAACGTCTCATTTGAAAGAAACATATCCAGACTAAAAGAAGGCAACATGACTTAAAATTAAGGCAAATGTATTGGCTTCTTGTACGTAAATCATAACTAAACATCCAAAACAAAATTCTTATATACAAAGCAGTACTCATACCTATCTGGTTCTGTGGACTACACCTGTGGGCTCTGCAAAGCCAATGTCGCTGAATATTATCCATAGATTTCAGTCTAAAGTGCTAAGATCGATAGTGGATGCACCATGGTACATAAGTAATCAAACATTTCACTACGACTTAAAGATTCTTATCATCAGAGAAGAAATCCATCAAGCCACTGAGTCACAAAATGAACTTTCCATTCACCATGAAAACGAGCTAGTAAGGGAATTATTTAACAATGGTCCAGCCACAAGAAGACTAGATAGAACCTGGCCTCAAGACCTACTTCAAAACTAAACCAAAATAGAATAAGTTGCGACATCATTGGATGTCTCTCGTTCACGCGCAAAACCTGTAACACATTAGTTAATAAATTACTATTTATAACTGGGAATAAGCCACAATTAAAGATAAAAATACGTTTATTGACGTTTCAATTTCCAATTCGAAATCGTTCTCAAAATACACTGTTTGTATTTTGAGAACGATTTCCGAATTGGAAATTGAAACGTCAATAAACGTATTTTTATCTTTAATTGTGGCTTATTCCCAGTTATAAATAGTAATTCATTTACAATGCCACAAGAAAATAGCTTCAGAACAATACATTAGTTAATACTTTGTAATGATGTAGATTGTAAATAAATATTATAAAAAAAATTTTTTAAATATAGAAAACTTAGTAGGTATAAAGCTTTGCGCTAGTTTACTGTACCGCCTACTGCAACATCTGTGTTTGTCTTAAAAATTATCGGACCTGGCACATAATAAGAAATTCTAATTATACAGTGTGGTGGAAATGAAAGGAATAAATTCGTTATTTCGTAAACCGGAGACTTTAAGGAAAATCCTGAAACCTCTCGATTTTTATTTTTAAATAAGCTATTCGTAAGAATACATTTTTATTTTTGACGTTATCTATGTGAGCGTGATGACGTCATTGCTAAAATTTTTAAATAGAAAGGGGGGTATTGTAATACATCATTTGAAAGGTCTTTTAAATACCTATTCATCCATATCAATATGTCTGAGTATTTGATGTTTGTAATTGTTTAAAAAAATTATTAAATATTTATTATTACAATAAATATTTATTAAGTATTGATATGATGTATTATTGACACCCAAAAATAAATTTTATAAAGGCCATCACTGGTAATGAAATGTCTTTTTTATCTACTTTTTACCTTTTTAAAAAAACTAGTTACCTTATCAATATGAACATTGATAGTTGGACATTCAAACTTAATTATCTTTCTGCCAAGTCATTAATAGTATTATTGTAGTAAACGTATTCAAAAAGTCTTTGTATCTTTGAACATGAAGCTAACTGAAACGCAAAGAATTGAAATTATCATTATGATTGGTTATGGAGATAAAACATGTACGCAGAAAGAAGTATGTGCGTTATTTAATAATAAATACCCCCGTCGAGAACCAATTTCACAATCCACTGTAAGCAAAATTGAGAAAAAATTTAGAGAAACGGGTCATGTTAAAGACCTTCCTAAAGGTAGTAGAAAACCAATATCTGAAAACCAACAAGTAGATGTTCTGTTAGCTTTTCAAGATAATCCTCATAACAGTTCACGGCAAGTAGCATTAGATAATGACATGGACCATTCAACAGTTCTTAAATAGCTAAAGAAGGAAAAGTGGCATCCCTACAAAGTAAGTTTAGTACAAGAACTTATGGAAGATGATTTTGATAGACGAATTGAATTTTGTGACATTATAATGGAAATGAAATCACAGGGATCCGATGTTTTTAAAAAAGATTATTTTCTCTGATGAAGCTACATTTCTACTAAACGGTCATGTCAATCGTCAAACTTATCGGTACTGGGCTACGGAAAATCCACACTGGATGCAAGAGTACCGTACTCAATACCCAGAGAAAATTAATGTTATGGTGGGAATAATAGATAATAGGCGTATTGGACCATACTTTTTCGAAGAAAACTTGTCCTCGATATTTAGAATTTCTTCAAAATTTCTTGCTTCCAGAATTGAACCGGTTCTTTCCAAATAGAAATGATTTGTGGCTACAGCAAGATGGTGCACCTCCACACTATGCTGTCTTGGTACCCAACTACTTAAACAACGTCTTTCCAAATCGGTGGATAGGTCGAAGAGGAACAATAGAATGGCCGCCTAGGTCACCTGATTTGACTCCTCTTGATTTCTTTTTATGGGGATATTTAAAAATAAGGTGTATCAAAATCGACCACAAAATATTAATGAACTGAAAGAAAGAATACGTAATGAGGTTGTTCAAATAACTCCGGAAGTTTCTTATTGTATTTTAGCTGAAGGTAAACAATTTGAGCACTTAATTTAGGTTTCGTTGTATTTATTGAATAATACTTAATATTTATTTTAATAATAAAAATTTAATTATTTTTTTAAACAATTACAAACTTTACTTAGACATAGATATTGATATAGCTGAATAGGTATTTAAAAGACCTTTCAAATGATGTATTACAATACCCCCCTTTCTATTCAAAAATTTTAGGAATGACGTCATCATGCTCACATAAATGACGTCAAAAATAAAAATTTATTCTTACGAATAGCTTATTTAAAAATAAAAATTGACGAGTTTCAGGATTTTTCCTTAAAGTCTCCGGTTTACGAAATAACGAATTTATTCCTTTCATTTCCACCATACTGTATGTGTAAATAACCATAAAATATAAATGATTCTTCTATGTGCTATTTATTTACTAATGTTGGTGTTTTCTTTTTAGTGATCTCTTTTAATATTGTCAACCAAATTCTATTACATTCATTGACTTCATTTAGCAAAATAAGAGCAGCTTAGTTCCTTTCGTATTTTTAATTATAAATTTTAACACATATTTCGTCGCTAAGATGTCAAAACCCCGTATCTCAATTTTAGAAACCTTGTATCTCACAGGTTGCGCACGAAACCACGTAAGTCAACACGTGTCTGAAAAATTGTTAAATACTGAACAGTTTTGTGCAGTTATATAGTTTTAAAAGAATTATAACTGTTTATTAGAAGCTATGGTAAGTGAAAACATTTTAATACTTTGTTTTTAGACGCATTGTTTTACGTTAAACAGAAATATAACTATTATTGTTCCAAAAAATTTGAGGTTATGATGACTCAATTATTATATTTCAAGTGATCAACTGAAACAAATTATATAAATCAATTAAGGAAAAGCAAAAACTTGTCAGTTAGTACAAGAATTTTCAAAATAATGTATTACAGTAAATTTTTAAGTGAAAAATATTGTGATAAGAGGTTTCGTTACCTACCAAAATATAATCAAGTATTTACAATATTGATTTACGAGGTTTCTTTGGAAACAAAATAAGTATTTTTTGTTTTATTTTTAGGCAAGCCGGGCTTTAAGAATGGTCAAATCAGCACTAGAAAGTCTAAAAGCGGATTCTGATATTGAGCAGAATGAAAGTACTACCAATCAAAATTTACATTCTAAAGAGATCGCAGAAGAAGAGATAAAAGTCGCAGAACTTAAGAGCTGTCATGTAGAAGATTGGAAAAAAGCAAATACAGGCTTTGAACAAGTTTATGAGACCTTTCGAGAAGAATCCTTGAGTTTCCAGCACACTGCTTTTTCATCAGGTTGTTCACAAAACATTCAAGTACATTCCTGTACTATTTTTAACCCAAAGAGTACTGCTATTCAAACAGGATCTCATTTAAAAAATGACAACCAAAGCAGATGTTTGGCTAGTATTCATATAGAAGATAGCATGAATGTTGATGTCAAGGACAGTACTCAGATGGAGAATGTAAGTAGGGATCTAACTTTGAATATAGAAAATATCAGTGAAGCTGCAGAAAATCGACACTATAACACCGATATTAAATTTGAAGAACCTTTCGAAGGATCAGAGTCAAGTTATCATCCAAATATCGCGATCCTGTAAATGTCGCCAGACGCAAAAAAATTAAAGCGGCGCCTAAAGAAGTAGACGCTCTTCGAGAAGAAAAAAATGAGAAGAGAAGGCGTAGCAAAAAAGTCAAAGCAGATTCTTCTACTTGGGAAAGAAATGAACAAAAATGTTTAAGAATGCGTGGTAAAGAATATAGAGCAAAAAAGAAGGAGAAAGATGGATCTATAGTTACCATTAAGAGAAACTCCCGAGAAATGAAACCAAGATGTATTCCAGCAAAGTGTTTAGCAGCAAAAGAAAAAAGGAAATGTTCAATGATAACTGATGATCAACGAAGGAAAATTTTTGATGGGTTTTGGTCTGAGATGGATTGGCATCAACGAAAGATATTTGTGTGTACGCTAGTTAATAAACAGCCAACAGTGCAAAAAAGAACACAAAATAAATCAAGGAGTAATTTAAGTTTATTTTATCATTTGAAAATAGATAATACCGTAATTCCAGTTTGCAAGAAAATGTTTCTCTCCACATTAGGATTGGGTGAATGGAGTGTTCAAAACTGGGTGAAAACTAGTTGTGACGCGGGTATCCCAAAAGTAACTACTACTACTTTTCCTTCCAAGATTAAACCTGTCAATATTGAACGCAGAAATAAAGTTAAAGCATTCCTTGAAAAACTGCCAAAGATGCCCTCCCATTATTGCCGTTCATCAACGAGTAAACTTTATTTGGAAACAACTTTTCAATCATATAAGGAAGTATATGACGTATACAAAAATTATGAACCACAATCTGCTGTAGGATATGATGTTTTCTTAAAAGAAATGAAAAACACAAACATTGATGTATATCATCCAAGGAAGGACCAGTGTGATTTATGTTTTTCGCATAAACTGGGCAATGTAGAGCAAGAAGATTATGAATCGCATATTAGCCAAAAAGATCGCGCTAGAAAGGAAAAAATCAAGGATAAAGAAGATGCGTTGGAAGGAAAAGTGTGCGTATTTACGATGGATGTACAAGCGGTCCAACTTGTCCCTGTCGTCCCAGCAGGCATGGTATACTTTAAACAGAAACTAGCATGCCATAACTTCACCATCTATAATTTAACAAATAATAAGGTAGTTTGTTATGTATGGCATGAGGGAGAGGGCAAAACGGATGCCAACTCCTTTACATCTTGTATAATTGATTTTTTTAAATGAAGAGTTAGATGCCCAAGAAAAGGACAAACCAAAAATTGTTTTATAGCGATGGATGTTCTGCACAAAATCGCAACGTAACATTGGCTAATGCACTTCAGCATTTCTGCAACGAAAATGATACGGTAATTATACAGAAATATTTAGTTAAAGGTCACTCGCAAATGGAGTGCGATAGTGTGCACTCCACCATTGAAAGAAAGAAAAAAAATAAATGCATTTACTCACCATCCAATTATGTGGAAATAATTAAAGAGGCCCGTAAAAATTTCCAAAATCCATACAAAGTTAAATACATTGATCACCAATTTTTTAATGACTATTCCGAAATTAAGTATTATTCATCCATTCGTCCAGGAAAAAAAGTGGGAGATGCATGCGTGAATAATCTGAGGGCTCTCAGGTATTCCAGAGATTTGCCTGTCCAATTCAAACTAAACTTTGAGGAGGAGTGGCAGTTTTTACCAGTTTGCAAAAATACGAATAATGCAGGAATCGTAAGAAAAATGTATAATGACCATTTGCCCATTACAGAAGACAAATTTAATCACCTGCATTCTCTTAAGACTGTTATTCACCAAGATTATCATGGTTTTTATGACTCGTTGAAGCACTAATTTTTGTTTTCAAAATATGGAAAATAGTTGTGTTATTTTATTTTATATCAGAGTACTTATGTAACATGTTTGTTTTATTTCTTATTTAAGAATAAACATTTTATTTTTCTTCTCTAATATTGTTCTTTGCGTGTAAAAAGGAGTAAGAGGGCTGAAAATATGCTACCAAAACCACGTAAGACCTGAAATTAAATACTATTTAAATTTCAAAAACTCGTATCTTACGATTTTTTTCCAAAAAAATCCAAGTCTATTTTTTTCGAGTTTAATCACTATCACAAATAATTCATTTCGTGGAACTACCCACATTTCAGAAAAAAAAATAACTTTAAAAGTTATATTTTCTACTATGGGAAGTTTTAGGTGATTTCCCAAAATACACTAATTTTGAGATACAAGATTTTGACATCTGAACGACGATTTGCATTCTTTTTTTGAGAAATAATTATCTTATTTTCGTTTATTTTAAATTTTTTATGTGTAAGAGGGACACAAACAAACAATTGTAAAAATTTACCAAACATTGTACCATGATTTAATGGCCAGATAATTAGTTTATATTCTAGAAAATATTATTTTTAGAACCGTTGTACATACACCACGGAAGACAATTTTATCTGCATCATTTATGACCACCGTTAACTGACCCACATGCCTCAACGTGTTTTATTATTCCCAGATATCAACCAGTCTGCTTCGCTTTCATTCAATACATCAAAATAAATATATAAATTAAGCATTAGATCGAAAGTAGGCGTCTTACATTTGGTTATTCGACTCTGTCTCAAATCAAATTAAAATAACTTGTCACAATTAACATAATAGATACATAACAGACGTAATATTTGCTTTTAGAAGTTTTAAGATAAAAAATACCCTTTCACGCAAATTTTCATTTAATCGTTAGTATATAAGCGGGCTTTAATTAACGTAGATTTACAGTTAACACACAGTGTGTAACAAATACACATAGGTACTATTCTAAGTCATCATGAGGTGTGCCGTTGTAAGTAAATTATTTTTGAAGTTTCTAAAATTTTGATTTTTTAAAAGATTTTCGATAAATTCCTTCTTTTAGCCATTGCCTCTTCATTAATTCTTATGTTTTTTATTTTTGCCAATATGTTCTTTAGAGCTTTCTCTACCTTATTTATTACAACTGCATACTTGTACCAATTTCTTAGATTATTTAACCAGGAAAGGAGCCTTTTCCCAAGATGCTCTTTTCTTTAATTTTACCTTGTATTATCATCTGAAATAACAAATAGCTATCTCTTCTTATCACACGATTTAGACATCACAACTTCCGTAATTGTTCTGTCTACGCAACTTACTCTAAATACCCCTTCCTATTCTTACTAAGTTTACCCCTAATGCTTTTTGTCTTGCGAGGTTTTTGTCCTTTCATTTTGATATATTTGCTATCATTTGTTATGGCTCTATCTTCTTCTTCTTCAGGTGCCATCTCCGCTACGGAGGTTGGCAATCATCATAGCTATCTTATATGGCTCTATCATTTTCATTCAATTCTCTATGCAATCTTCGTCCCCCTTTTATTCTCTTCATGGCCCATTTGACTCTGCAGCCGTTCTGAAAAGTTCTATTGACGTTTCCCACTCCATTGTCTTAGATTCTTCAACCAGGACGTGCGTCTTCTCGTTGTATTCGTATTTTTCGTTTCTTATTATGAGACCAAAGTAGCTCATTTTTCTTTTCTTTATAGTGTTGAGTATTTCTTTATCTTTTTTCATTCTTCGTAGCGTTTCCGCATTTGTTGTGTGTTGTGTCAAGATATTTTCCACATTCTTCGATAACACCACATTTCAAAGTTCATGAGTCTTTTCTCTGTCGCCTCTGTAATTGTCCAGACCTCAACTCCATACATCAGGACAGAGAACACGTAGCATCTCAATACTATAGTTCTAATCTCAGTGTTAAGTTTTCCATTGCATAATACTGCTTTCATCTTATTAAAAGCACTTCTAGCTATCTCAATACGCCATTGTATTTCCGTACTTCTATCCCATTCTTCATTTAGTTCGCAACCTAAGTACTGATTTATGTGAAAAGTTTTCCTTTGGCATAAAC